TTGTTGCCCTTTTTCATTTATTTAAAAACAGAAATAGACAATATAAGAAATATCGTTTTTATTTGTATCACATGTTGCGTTTTACAAAACTGTATCTTAATTAATTTATTTACATTTGCATATACACTAGTTTTGGCTTAAAATTCAACTGCTTGTACTCTCTTTTAACTTTTTACACACCTCATCCTTCATATCACAGTCGCATTACAATACTATTTCATACTATTTCATACTTATTCCTAGTATCTATCCCTGTATATTAATGACAGCTTTTTTCTGACATTCAATATTGTAATACTACTCAATTTCGTTAAATAATCTTTCCATTTCTCTAACATATATACACAGATCCCTATTTATTTCCCCTTTTAAAATTATCACTAATCTTTCTCTTGTTAATTCCCCCTCTAGTTCGCTCATCCACTTGTTTCTTGCTTGTTGCCCTTTTTCATTTATTTAAAAACAGAAATATATTTATTTGTCACACCCCCACAGTCATATTTCTCTTACCTCACAGTACTGATAAAAGTCTATATATAAGCTATTTTTGACCACTAACTCTACACTTAATTTCATTAAAATAAATAATAAAAAATATTTTATTCACGAGAAATGACTGTGTACACTAATAAAATGTCATTATTGCTTCTCATCATTAACTTCGCTGTATAAATAATTGATTTCCTATCCGGTCATTAAGTTTAGATTCTTACTCTTGAATATTCCTCATCCGGCAAACATCAGGATTTTATGATGTTACTATTACGCTATCAAGTTTATACAGACGACTATCAAACGTCCCAAATTCTTTTCGTCAAACTTATAACATAAAACAAGAAATAAAAAGTTTGTATCCTACACCTTTATTTCATTTTCAGAAAAAAATATAAAAAAAATCTCGTAAAAATAAATCACATACTTTAAAATAAAATGTATTTATATCTTCATAAAAAAATAATTGTTCGACAAAATTGTTACTATCTTAAATAATAATAATAATATTTTATCAAAACAAAATCCAGAGACTAAAGAATGCTTTTAAAAAAATCTCTACTTTCTCTGAAGCTAAAGACAATTAGAATGATCATGAAACAACCGTTAATTTATGCACTAGAATAATTAACAAAATCCACCCACTGTTCTGCATGAAACGTTAACAATGAGCTCTAAAATAAACACAAAGAACCCAAAACAACTAAAGAAAATATTTATTTGAATGCACTTTTCAACCCTTAAATTAATTAAATCTGTTACAGTGACTACTTCATGAAATTCAAACTGCTTGAAAAAAAATATTAACTAAAAAAAAACAAAATAATTGTCTTATTTTTTTATGACTTACTCAGTAATTAAAATTTTACTTTCATGCATAAAGAACTTTTTATTATTATTACAAACCGTGACAATTTTTTAAATTCAAAGACTTTTATTATCATTGAATTTTAATATTTTATTATCACATCTGGTTTAAACGAGCAATTTTCATTATTTTTAGGACTGAGATCCGAAACTTCCAACTTTATAAAATTCCATATAATTGAGTAGAGTTCTTTCAAGTTTTAAATAATTTCAGAAATATTATAGATAAATAGATACATAGATAAATAGATAGGTTGGATACGTATTAGGGAGATGACAAACAAGTCAACAAGCAAGACGATAAGCAAGACCACGAGCGCGATCATGAGCGAGACCACGAGCGAGATCATGAGCGAGATCATGAGTGAGACTACGAGCGAGATCATGAGCAAGACCGTGAGCGAGATTACCAGCAATACCCTTATCATTAACCTCTAAGAATTTTTGAATTCGATCTTGCTAGCCTCCACATTATGTTTTTTTAAATATTTGGCCAATTGTCTTTTAATCTAAGCTTGTTAACATGATTTTTACTCTTGCAGGTTGACCTGGATCCTGCTTCTTTTTCTTGACTTTGTCCTTTAATTATCTTACCAATTCTTCCCAAACCTAGCCTAAAATTTTTTTTTGTGGAGTTGCTCAGCAACTGAATTTGTCTTTTGGCACCGTCCAACGAACACTGAAAGATGAAAAGCTTCACGCGTATCAACGAGTTCAAGAGTTGAAGCCCGAGGATTTTCCAGTTCGTATGGCTTTTTGTCAGGAACTCTTGAATCGTTTCGAAAACGATGAAGATTTTTTCAAAAAAATTCTGTTTACTGATGAAAGTAAGTTTGGCCGAAATAAGTTTTGGAATACCCGAAATTTCCACTGGTATGCTCAAGAAAATCCCCACTGCACTATTGTTCGGAATCACCAAGACCGGTTTTCGATTAACATCTGGGCAGGAATCCACTTTGGCCAACGCACGATTGTAAATTAAATTTATTATAATAATTGTCTTTAACTAATTTTTGATTTGTAAAGTTCTAACAACAAAATTTATTATAGGTTGGTCCTTATGAATTCGAAGAAAATTTAACATCAGAAATATATGTAGATTTTCTCGATCAACATTTACGGCAAGAATGTCGAGAAGCAGGAATTCCGCGGAGAATTTATGAAGAAATGTGGTTTCAACAAGACGGCGCTCCGGGTCATACAGCAGGAGCTTCGCAAGCATGGCTTCATGCAAATTTTGCCAATCGCTATATCGGTCGAGGTGGAATAATAAATTGGCCTCCAAGATCACCAGATCTCAATCCGTTGGATTATTTTGTATGGGGCCATGTGAAGGCCAATGTTTACCGTCATCCCGTTGACGACGTTGATACTCTGCGAGACAAATTCACGGATTGTCTGAGAGAGATCACACAGGAGATGGTCGATAACTGCGCAACGAACTTCGTCAAGCGTCTTCGTTGTTGTATCCAAAATAATGGAGGACATTTTGAACAATTTCTATAATAGATTTGTTCGCTGACGTTATAAATTTCATATGTTAATAAAATTTTTACTATAGATAATAATGTAGTCATTATAATGTAATATTAGTTATCCTTACAGGATGCCTGGAAATTGTTCTCGTAATCCATCTGATAAGAGTCCTTATTATTATTCTGACAAGCACCCTGAAATTTGTCCTTGTACTCCACCTGATAAAAGTCCTTATTATTATACCCTTCAATAGCCTGGACTGTCTCCCATTTGTTTTTCTGCTGAGTCCTTAAAATTATCCTGATAAGCAGCCTCTGGCAGTCATCTACGTCTTCGGCCTGATGAAAGTCCTTCAAATTATTCTGATAAGTAGCCTGGATTTCGGCCTTACAATTTTCCTGATAAGAGTTCTTATAATTGTCCTGATAAAAAGCGTGGATTTTATACTTATAATTTTCCTTAAAAATATCCTGATAAGCAGTCTGGATTTTATTGTCTTAGTTTTCCTGTTAAAAGTCCTTAAAATTATCCTGATGAGCAGCCTAGGTGTTGTCTTTTTAATTTTCCTAATAAGAGTCTTTATAAGTATCCCGATAGACAGCCTGTATTGCCCTTTTTATTTTCTTGATTAACGTCATCGTCTTTAACTTATTACTTATCCATTCATTAATTCAATAGCTTCCTTAAATTTTAAAATTAAGTTTAAAATTGAGTATTTAATTTTATTTTAAAGGTTACATTTGTTTAAACTCTTAAAAATTAGAATTATTTAAAAAAAGTAAACAAACAAAAGTAAAACGTGAAGTTGGAAATCGCAATGCAGCCAAATTTATTATTTATTCTTTTGTATTTTTTTTTAAATGTTAAATCTCGCATCTGATTGGTCAACAAAAATTTTGAATAACTCAAAAACTACTCAAAATTTTCAGTAACGACTAAGAAGTTTTCTGCTCAGAATCGTTTCCTCTATTCGAATATCTTCGCTGTAAAAGTAATTTTGGATCACCCGTATATAGTTGTCATAAAGAAATATTTAAGAAAATGACTTAAATAAGTTGATTTATTTGAGACAAATAAATCTTTTCTTCTGTGCATCAACATGCTCAAAAGCATATTTAACAAAAACTTGAAATATAAATTTTATTAATTTATTTTTTATCTATTTACTTTTCATACTGTAACAAATGTTAAGACGAAAACAATGCTCTATTTTCAATATTGATTGAACAATATATATTATACTTGTATAAGAGATTTTCATTCGAATATTAATGATGAAGTTATGCAAATTCGGATTTATGAATTACAATTACTTTTTTTCTCGCCAATAAAACTTCATAAACATCAGCATAAAAACTTCGTCGAAGATAATAAAAAAAAAAAAAGTCTGGCAGTAAGAAAAAAACGCTAAAATGCAAGGTAATTGCCTAGGTCAATGTATTCGCAGTAACTTTGTACATCTAAAGTAATTCGTAGTTTGCTGATAAAGCTTGCGAATAGACGACTAGTACGGAATGGCGTAGAGTAGTTGAATCTGTACTGCATGTATAGATACGGCATATATGTACTAAAATATATAGCATAGCATGTAAAATAGTTAGACTAAGAAATACAGGAACCTGGTACGGTTACCTAGTGACAAAGTTGTTCTGCTTGGCCTCATCATGGTTGTTTTAAACTTACAACTTCGACCTTCTATCTATTTTATCTATTCCCTAGTTCTTCATTCTCATGGGACACTACGGATTTATGGGGCCAACTAGTCGTTGAGTTCCTGCGTCTTACTTATATAAGCACACTTTACTGCCTTTCCTTGCTCCTTATCTCAGACGCATTACATTGCATCTAGGATATCTATAACTCGATGGATTAATAAATAATGGTTTCACTTTTCAAAGTGTTAATATTAAATGTTTGACTGTTTACTTTGAATACATTCCTCGTGCATTTTATCGGTATTAATAAACAATGTCGTGATAGATTGATAGACATTACTGGTTTTGGTTAACGAGACAGTTAATTTTTTTAATAAAATTTTTTCCAATTCGTAAGAAATTTATGTGATATGCTATAAAATATTTTATGGCATACTTGAAATACAATATATATATAATAAATGATAAATACTAATTAAATTAATTAATAATTCATTGATTTTGTTAAAGATGAGAAACGCCACCGCTGTATTCATAATGAATCTTTCAATCTCGGATCTGATGTTTTGCTGCTTCAATTTACCATTAGCAACATCTACATTTTGGTATGGCTCGTGGACGCATGGACCACTTTTGTGTCGTCTATTTCCTTTATTGCGTTATGGTCTCGTTGCTGTAAGTCTGTTTACGGTGTTGGCAATCACAATCAATCGATACGTAATGATTGGACATCCTCGACTGTATCCAAAGTAATTACGAAATATTTTTTTCTTTCATTAGTATTTTTACTTTAAAAGTTTGCAAATTTAAATATTATCCCTCTAGCAGCAAACAGACAAGAAAGTTAACTTCATTCAAGACGATCATTTTGAAAAATTTGATTATGTTAAACCAATCAAAAAATTTCTTTGGAACTAATAAATTATTTTTATCGATATAATTTTGTGTTTAAGAGAATATTTCGGTCTAAAATTCTGTAAAAATTTTTTTTTGCATATTTTCAAAGTTCAAACCTTTAAAATATATCCTAACAAAGTATTTTTGAAATTTCAATAATTTTCAAATATAATATTTCTATTCTACAGAACCGATTTACGCAAAATTTGGTGTAGGCCTCTATTATCGTTCGAATTAGCTTTATAACAAAATTTATATTATCAGATTATCACTATTTTTTAAAAATTTGGAAATGTCAAAAAATAGGTAAAAAAAATTAGTAAAACGGTTAACCCTGAAGGCCATCCCTGCAACTTCCCGCTAATTCCATAACTGGGCGCGTAAAATTGTACTTATGACGGCTTTGAGATTTTTGAGCTCTTTGAAAGTAAAATTTTTAAGCTTTTATTACTTTCGATTATATACATACGATATAATCGGCATTGTCTCTTCTCTAACTCCCGTAATTTTATACGGATCTCAATAAAACGTAACATACTTATTCTTAGGACAATTTCCAAGGTTAAGTTCTAAGATGAGCCAAATCTGTCGATTAATTTAGAAATGAGAGCAATTGAAAAATTTTCAAAAATCGCAAAAAATTTTTGCTTTTACCTTATTACCGTGCAATAACAATGGAACGCGACATCCTATCGAATTTATGTAAATTGCATTTAAAATCTTATTTAATAAGCTTCAATTTGTATACTCATTTATTCTTTCAAATTAAGTAGTTTAGGAATAATAGCAATTCAAAAATTTTCAAATGGCATCTGAAAGTTTATTAAATAAGCTTTAATTTGTGTACCTCATTATCAGTCTAGGCCAAAAATTACCTACTGTCTCAGACAGATTTAATGAAATTTTACTTTCGCATTCGTTTTGACGTCATTGTTGTTTAACGTAATAAAAAAAATTTTTTTTTTCGTATGCAACCCTAGTAGTATTTTTTTTATTCATCATGAAATCTACTTCCATTTCGACTGCCGAATGGCCTTTTTTTTATTACACTTGAAATTAGTTCCCCTTGACCAGAATGCCTCTTTAAGACAAATAAATTCATAAAAATGATTTTTCGATTCAAAATTTTTTTTTAAATCAATTTAATTTTCTATTAGTGCGTATTTTTAATCGCATGATACTAATGTTCTTCACATTATCAAAATAGAGTACAGTCTCCCTTTGAGGCGTGCAATTTATTTCAAAATTATTTTACGTACTAATTATTTAATTATCTTTTTCAGATTTTATAAGTCAAAATATTTAATACTAATGGTGATAGCGACATGGATATCTGGATTTGGTGCCTTAGTGCCAACATGGTTTGAACAATGGGGTCGCTTTGGTCTGGATCCAAACATTGGTTCATGTTCAATTCTTCGTGATACTAATGGTAATTCACCAAAAGAGTTTTTATTCATACTCGCGTTTCTTACACCTTGCATTGCAATCGTCGTTTGCTATGCAAGGATTTTTTATATTGTACGCAAGACTGCAAAAAGAAGCCGCAGACGTCAAGAAACTACAACTGATTTTGTCAAAGCAACACTTGAGGTATTTTCTAATCATAATTTATTATTCGCCACTGCAAAATATTACTGTGCACAATTCTTTAAAAATAAAAAAAAAATTTTGCATTTCAATATTTTAAAATCTAAAAAAAATCGATGTCAATAATAATTTAAAAAATTGATTTATCAGGTAAAATATACAAAACACTTTGAAGACTCGGCATTAGGTTCAAGTTGTGCTGGAACAGGTACATCAGAAAATACCGGATCTCCAATAAGAAACGACAGACATCTTCAGAGTCAACAAAATACTTCGTATTTTTACATTGAAGATAATGATGATAAAATATTGCACAGCAGTGAAACATTGAACATCCAAAAAATAACCGAATACAATAACGATGAATTGAAAAATATAAAAATAAATTTACAAGATATTAAAAATAATACCGATAAAGAATGTCAAAAAACAATTTATACCGTTTCGATACCAAATTTTCATTTTTCTGATGTCGACTCATCATCATCACAATTACAAGATAAGTCACTGTCATTAACACATGCTACTGATAACCAGGAAAAAACAGTTATAAGCAAATCAATTTTATCAAACAATGATCGGTGCTTGAAAGTGCCAAAAGATTCGGCAAAAAGCTATCAAGAATGTTCAACGCGCGTTCTCAACCCACAATTAACAAATACGAACAAATATGACGGTTCAGATTTTTCTGAAGAATTCGTAAGTTCTCGATCGGATTCACCATGTGATAATAATAAACGTAGCGTTAATAGTAATAATAATAGTAATAGTAATATAAATATTAAAAGAGGTAGTATTTTCCGACGAGAATTGCGATTTCGTAGTTTTAAAAACCGTAATGAATCCGGAAAAATGTCTGCTAAAGATAAAAAGTTACTTAAAATGATACTTGTTATATTTTTGTCATTTGTTGTTTGTTATTTGCCTATAACAATCGCTAAAATATCTAAAGATATTATTGATTGGCGCGGGCTTAATATCGCTGGGTACATACTTATCTATTTAACGACTTGCATTAATCCAATTATTTACGTTGTTATGAGTTCGGAATACAGAAGTGCGTATAAAAATGTTCTGCTTTGTCGGGGTGACTCGTTTCACGATGGTAAGAGACGTGGTAAATAAATTAATGCTTTTATTCTTATTCATTATTTTCAATATATTCAAAGTAAGGAAAGACTGGTATTTAAATAACTCGCGTAATGTTTTTATTAATTTCATGCTTCACATTTATATTTCATATCTTCAGATAAAAATTTTGTTTTTACTATTAAAAATAATTTTTTTCTTCCCGTAACGTGGATATAACACTTGGGATATTTTTGTGAGCACCTAATCCTATAGAATCACTGCACGGATTTTAATGAAACTTTTAAACTTTATTTACTAAATGCTTGCAAAAGATATTATCTGGAAAAGTGAACATAAAATTACCTTATTCATATTTGTACTGTTAAGGTTGATCGGACTACGGCATGCAACAAAAAAATTTTATTTACATAAATCGACTCTTGTAGATTATGTCACTATTTAAAAGAATATTTCAATAAAAATTTTTATTCATAAAATAACGATTAATAGAAGCGACCTAGCGATAGCTCGTGAAAAACAACCGTAGGTCGTATCCGAATAATTTAAGAGGGTTTTCACCATTGCATGGTGGATTTTTTTTTAAATATTTAATTCTTATCAATCTCAGAAGGTAGTAGAATAGTTCATATTTATAAAGTTCTGATATTTCCTCAAGTATCTCTAACAGCTTCAGAATTTCGTTTAAAATATTTCACCGGATAGGAGCATCAAGTTTTAAGAAATTGTGCATAAGCTGGTAAAAAAAGAAACAAATAATTTTGTACATGTTGAAATATTGTAAAGAACGTTGCGACATACCGAAAGTTTTTTACTCTCTTAGAACTCATTACCATAACGAAAGGGGTAAGAACTGAAAGAGTAAAAGTAACAATAATTTTCTCAACTCAAAACTAGTTTCAGGTAAAATATTTTCTGTGTCGAAGTTCATTGCTCCTGGTTCCTTCAGGATAATTTAGGGTTATTATATTTTGACTTAATTAAAAAGACTGAAAATTTGTAAATAAATTACAAGTAAATGAGATTTTTTAAATTTATTTATTGAACTATTAATTTGATTTTTTTAAAATCAACTAATGATTTAAATTGGTTTATTAATTCTTCTAAATAAAAAATTTACAATAAAGTCAGAGAACACAATTATTAAAATTTTATAATTTTTTATATTCAATTTACAAGTCCAAGACTATTGTTATGAGATATTAATTCAATTACTGTATAAATAATAATGCGTTAGTGATATTAAAATCAATATTGCTAGTGGATATCTATGCTATATATTTAATATAAGAGTAAAATAATATTATTTAATAACAATATTAAATATTAATTGATATTTTAAGTATTAAAAATATTAGTCAGCTGTAGTGTGGTAAGAAAATTTAAAAATTGAGCAAACAATTTACGACAACAAACTAAATTTTTTTATATATTAATTAATAATTTATAATTTATGATAGATTATATACACATTGATCTCAACACTCATTTTAGTTTTTATACACTCATAGGAATAAGTTAAATATTATTATTATTATTATAATTTTTAATACCATTTAAATATTTAATAAATAAACAATATAACATATTGAGCATTGATATTATCATATAATATTTAAAGAAAAAGACAATTTAATGGAAAGTGTCGAGAGATCGTCTGATTGTAAATTTATATAAAGAACAAATAATAAAAATATTCATCATTACTTCAAAGTTTTCTTAACTGAACATATGATATCACAGTTCACTCTTCCTTTGATTTAAATTGTTACATACAATTCCTTTTTTTTTTTTTTTTCATTATTTTTCATAAGACCCATTAGATAACGAGCTTACTTGGTAATCGCCATCATTACATGGTAATGTGTCCTTGATATAATCTCATAAATTGCTATTAAATATTTGTAAAATTATAAATGGATACCTCTATATTTTCTGATCAAACTGTTTTATAAAGAATTATCTCTTTTTTACGAAATATTAAATAGCGCTGCAATTATCGAACACAATTGAATTTTTTCCAATTTAAAAAATGACCAGTTTCATTGGCAATTTGTGAATATTAATTATCGAAACTTCATAAATATAAATTGATTTACAAGCAAAAAAATAATTAAGAAATTATTCAAAATTAAGTTGCAAAGTTTATTCATTTTTTTTTTTATACTTTAGAAATCAAAACCATAATAATAAATTATTTTAATCAATTTTAGAAACAAAAACGGCAAATTCTAAATATTAAACGAATTAATAACGCTCTAAAAAATTAATTTTGGAATTAATAATTTGTTTGTGAAAAACTAAATCAATTTTTTGCCAATTAATTGAAATTTTGACTACTTATGAAAACCTTTTTTTTTTGCGTTCAAATTTCTTAGGAATTAACTGTGTCCATTAAAAATTTTTAGTTACGCTTAAAGAACATCAATCTAATTGGTCATAAACTTAAATTGAGCTGTTTCAAAGGGCCTTACTTATCTAAAATTAGAACTTCAACATAAGTTCTCTTAACAACATGTACCATGCCATCCGGAAAACTAAACGATTTAAAAAATGAATATTTCGCTGCCATTTTTTAGCTACCTAAAATCACGTTGTTCAATTTTGTGACTCAATATTTTACAGTAAAGAATTTTGCTTAATGTCTTCATATTTTTTACAGCACAATAGTGCAGAAAATTATGATTGAATTTCGGGGAATTTACACATTTGTTTAATTTTTTAATCTACTTGTTTGACACTATAAATGATGTGTAAATTTAACGCAAAGTTTTCGCTGTATTAAAAAGGTCCTTGTTTAAAATAAATCATTAAGATTTAGATTGGAAATTATTGAATCAAATTTATTTTAAAAAAGGACATTTTATTAACAGTTTAATTTACTTTCAAGCTTCTACAGAAGGTGGGGCATTATTTCCTTGAATAGTACTAACACTCGTTGGCCATTTTTTCTCATCGCCAGCGGTATTCTGAATTGTTTTTGGTGAAACTTTAGTTATGTCCAGTTTTTGCGGAGACTTAGTTGATTTGTAGAACAAAAAGCCAGCACCACCTCCTAATCCAACACCGGCTGTCATCATGATCCATTTCATAATTCTGTGAGTAATTTAATTAATTTAATAAAACAGATTAACAGTAATAATGATCATAGATTGATTGAAGTATTGAAATTCAATAATTCACTTACCCAACTACTTTCAACATAGTAAATACAAGCTTGATTGGCTTCATATACTCGTCAGCTAACTCAAGACCTTCCTCAACCCAAAATAATGGCATAAGAGCTGATGGGAAATTTTTCATAAGTTTAAATTTTTCAACGGGGAAAATGAACATATTGAATTGAAGCCGCTTTCTTGCACTCAGTGGCGCTCCAAGCATCGGTTCAAAGTCTATGAAAATCTGATGTTCTTCCTGAAATGTAAAATGACAATATTTAGTGGTCAGGTTTTCAAGTTAATATACCTTTATCCAACCTCGTTAGGATGAAGACCCTCGACTTGAGTTAAGTACTGTGGATCGGTGTCATAGAAATGTGGTAAACTACAGACAATTGGCGCTTTCACACAAGCAAATATATCGTATAATCCCTTTCCTAAGCAAGTATCTGGTGTCGGACAGAAACATTTCAGAGCTGGATCTGTACTCATGTCACCTAAGTTTGCGGTGTACCGGTTTGTCTTAAGTCCTAAATAATCCAGTAAAGAAAATAGATATTAAATAAAAACAGAATAAAACTGCTACAAAGAATACTTTCCTTAACATTTTATTATACATTTTTCACTTTTTTTAATTACACGGAAAAAAGTAAACTGTAATATTCACTCGGATTCCCGTTAATTTTTATAGTTTCAAACAGTAAAGGGGACATCGGGGTGGAAAAAATATAAATATTACAGAACTTAATGTAGAAAGTATAAAAGCCACAATTTATAATTTAATATCCAAAATAAGTGATTAGTTATTTTATACTTTTTACATATCATAAGATCATTTTTTAGGTACCAAATGATAAATATCAAAGTCTGAATTCTTAATTATTATACATTAACATTTTAGACATTTACATAGCGAATATTACTGTTTGAAATAGTATTTTCTTCCATGTAAAGAGTAAATTATAACGTTTAAATGGTAAATATTATAGTGAATAGTAAAATCACGATTTTACTGTTTGAAATGGTAATTTTTAGCAGTTGATCATTACTTATTACTTATTATAAATCGACTGTTATTTATTACAGTTTACTTTTTTCCGTGTAAAAATTAAATCTTTTACTTTTGAACATATAATAATAAATAAAATAGTTGAAAATTAAATTTTGTTCAAAACTTATCCTTGAAATAAAAATACCGATAGACATAAATTGACAACTTAATATTGAGAGTTATTTTTTTAACCGTCGAAAATTACGAATTATGAAGAAAAAAAACTTTGCTTATGATTTTTTGAAATATTAAATCACGAAGAGACGGTCAATTATAATCGATATACGGACATACCAATAATTTTATGGATAATGTGATGGAGTAAACTTATGAAACTGAAAAACTCCTTCAAAAACTTTACATAAAAAATTGAGTACCACCAAAAAAATATATAAAATTGTAAAAATGCACAAATTCAGGTAAAGACCTTTTCGATAATGCCAAATTTAATTATTAAAATCTCTTTTAAAATAAACATACCCGGCATAAATTATTCCTATCTTTTAATTATTTAGACAATAAATATATAAGCCGTGGAAATACATTAATTCAGATCATCACCTTTCCAAATTTACTAAATTTAACTAAAAAACCCCATTTTATCATATAAATGCGCCGGCAACAAAATTTTTCTTATTCAGTTAATTATAAAGACATATCGATGATTTGCAGCCCATAGCAGTCAACAACTGCAAGACTGATAACAGTGAATAAATTAAATAAGTATTAACCTTTGAATTTCGACGGTCTTTGGTATCGAGCGCCTAAACTTCTGCAAAGATCTGGCGCAAAAGACACGACATCTTCATCTTGATAGAGGAAAGGATGGAAAATCGTCGAATCGGTCCCATTGAAAGTATTACAGTCTCCGTCTTCGGGCCAGTTAGTTAATTTTGGTAAGCCTTTGAATTCAGTCACTATTCCTACCTCTAAATAATTAGCTTTACCACGTTTAACTCTAATTCGATCTGGTACAACAGTTCCATTTTTCTATACAAAATGAAAAAAGAAAAATTTACATTTAACGACGTGCATTGAAAAAAAAAATTAACTTGAATTAAGAGAAAAATTCTTGAACCAAAAAATAATTTTGAAGAGTTTCATAGTCTTGAATCAAAATAAAAAATTATTGAACCAAGTAAAATTCACTTAAACTAATAAAAATTTGTCTCCTCAAATCAAGAAGATAAAATTCTTCAAAATTATTAATTTAATTCAAAAAAAATTTTTTTTCTGTGAAAATACAAAACTTTTTTGTTATTTGTTAATGAGTTAATTTTTGATGTCGATAATTCAAGAATATTTCATGAGAGTGAACAAGTGCAAATACATTTATAATAGACAAAAATATATTTAGACTTACGGGGCCGAATAATGCAAACTTATAATTTTCACCGTCTTTTATGAAACCAGAATCGTCTTCACGTATTATTCCGCACACGGCGCTTCCAGCAAAATCTTTAACTGAACAATCAACTGGTAAACCTGTCCAGAGTATCTCGCGTGCTGTTGCAGTAACAAACACTGAAGATGGTTTATGGAATATACTGTCGACAGCTTTAGCTACATTATACAAAATAAATTCATTTTTTTTAGTACCATGAGTCTAGAGCACAGAAGATATATTTTAAGTAATAATAATGATGATTAAAGACCTACCTGCCAGACCAACCATTGCAGGTTTTTCTCGCACTGTAGCAAGAATCATCCCCAATATCATGGCATGGGGATAAACTAACACAACGTCTTCAGTAAGACCTGGAGCACTTTTTGCTTGGTTGAATATAAATGTTGCTTTATTGCAGTATTCAACAGTATCATCTTCTTCGCGATCAACCAAATCTACTTTTTCTTTCCATTCACTTTGAAATAATTAGAAAATAATAATAGAGTTCGAGTACACATATTTAGTTATAATTTATAATAAATAATAAATTTAAAAAAATATATACTCACTCGTAAAAAAATGGACCAACTTCTTTAACTATTGGTTTAGCGCCACCTTGTATTTCATTTGCATTTGTAACATTGAATAAATAAATTCTAAAATCTACTGGAAAAGGTACTACTGTCCACATGTCTCTCATGTCTGAACCCTCAACTAATTGGATTCCCTGGTAAGTATATATTTAATTTACATTAGTTTTGATCGGAAAAAAATTTGAATCCGATGTTATTTTTCTTTATCGGTTATCCGATCTGACATAAATAAAAAAGAATAGATACCATCCAAAAAATAAATATTATCAATCAACTATTGAAATCACAATTATTCTATTTAAAATAATAATTTATTTCATCAATAAATTTTTTGCTACCTAAATTAGCAAAAGGTATATAATTTTAATTAGCTCTCAGATCGAATAGCCCGTAAAGAAAAAAAAAAAAAGAACAATGAAATAAAAATTTTATGATTAATATTTTTGTTAAATTGATAATAAAATACGTCTTCTTCAATTTATGATTTGCAATCGATTAACACTCATTAAAATTTCAAGGTATAAGAAATAAATTATTTGTTATTACAAGCAAGGTGACTTCCTTTCAATTCTCTCAATAAAAATAAGAGTAAAAAAATTCAATTGTAATGAATACACATTCCAATACTAAACAATCTTTACGTATATCCACACATAATTACACGAAAAAACCTCTAATCAGGATACAACAAAACTGTCGTTGTCAGACCGATCATTAAATATATTTGTACTCCTGCTATTAATTGATTAAATTATAAACTAACTATTTGCTTCTTTAGATTACCTGTAATCATGATAAATTTATACTTGACATAAAACGAAAAATTACCTCTTTTCTCAAATTAAACTCAGTACAATTTTTATAAATAAAATTATTTTTTTTTTTTCCTAAAGCTTTAAAATGTATGATATTTTTATCTACAGTGTTATGTAATTTTAATAGGAGTATTTGAAATTATAACAATTACGATGACACTGATGCATAAATTAATGTGTTGCGTGCAACATGACACATGATCAAAAGTTAACTCTGATGAATCGGCAAACTTAATTTTTTTATGAATTAAAAGTCACTATATTTATTTAGAATTTTTAAATAATAAATATAATTATCGAAAAGGAGTGTCTATTTACGCGTAAAAAAATCTGGATAAATCCCCGCAGCGTGGATTTATCAGGACTTTTTTATGTATGAATAGACATGCCCTTATCGAAATAATAAAAATCTATTATCAAAAATAATAAAAATCTACCTTCTTTATTTGGCTGTGTAAAAACGGTGGAAAAAACGCGTAACCGATAATTATACCAAAAGTAAATAAAGAACCACCGGCGATGCCGAGTTTTTTGAATAGCAACATTATTTTATTTTATTTATTAATTCGAGTCAAAAAATTAAAATAATTCACTTCTAAATTAAACCATTAGCCAATCATAAAATAAAAATTAATCAGTATAAAATAAAAAAAAAATGTTATAGGTAAAAGTGACAAAAATCCTATAACGATGCTTGACTTAAGACTTTTGAAAACCGACTGATTCGCAAAATCTGCATTTATACAAACCATCAAAGTACGTACCCCACTTAAATAATATTTAATCGCGCAGTTGCGCAGTTCACGAGTATAAAACGTGTCAAATTATACATAACTTTTTTTTCGATTGCAATTATTTATGAAAATATACGTGAGTTTACTATACCTTTCATTAAATAGAGAAAAATTTTTTTTTATGCAGCACAAAAACTTGTTATGCAAACAAGCCTTGTAAATCATTACAGAATCATTGTGTTTTCTAAGATGTTTTAAAAATCTGTATAATGTTTAATAGCTTTTTTTGCTCGGCAAAATTATTATTATTATTATTTGACAATCAATCAATCTGTAACATCCAAGTTTTGATCCCCACAACTCGATTGCCTTTAAATTTTCTTAATAAAAAAGTATTAAGCGGTATTTTTCCATCTAAAAAAAAAAAAATTCATTCTTTATTCACTTAAGAGGAGAGTTTTTAATGAAATTAATTTATAATATCAATCATTTTCAATATTTACATACTTAAATCATAATAAAATAATTCAACTTATTATAACTTAATACTTGGATATAATACTTCAATAACACCTTCGAAATCCAGGTTGAGGTATCGGGTTCTTTTTATCGAGGGCGTGCAACTATTGAACAATAGTATTAATACTTAAAAGTTGATGCATTAAAGTGTTAAGTAAAAGTAATTTCAAGACCAATAAAATTTTTGTTGCGTTGTATCAAGACTAGATACTTTGCTTATCTTTATTTTGCAATCCTAATCACGGCTAAGCAAAACGATAAGTACCAATCGAATAATAGGTAAAAGTGTGTCAGTAAATCATAAAAATAATTGCTGATATAGAATAGCTGTGATATATAAAGCTTTTAGTGTAAAGTATGACACTTCAGGTAGTGTAACATCGAGGTGTGACATTCATATGTTCCCACGACACCCGGGAGGTGTGCAACCTTCAACACCCGTAGGGGTGACTACGAGGTCGCACCCTATTGGCCGACAATCGTTAAATACTTATAGGCCTTCACACCTAAACATTTTCAAGTTTAAGATTCAACTGGGCTATGCAATGCCGCATATTTTATAATAAACTCGTTTATTGATATTTATTTACGCAATATCCTCTTAGCTAGTTTCATTATCTTCATTTGCCGGTAATTAAAGTAGCTTTATAAAAGGTGATAGTCACGTATGGACAAAAAAAACATGCAATTATTAAAGATGAAGTTGTAGTTTTTTTATAACATTGCTGTAACTATGGTTGTTAAAAGTTTTACAAAGTATGATAAGAGTAAATGTCATCAGTCATCATGTAAAAATTTTGCAAAGCAATTAGAAGTGGGGCTCCTCCTATTGCTAGTCGTACAAAATTTTAAAATTAACTTATCCGTGTTTTTTTTAGGTAAATTTATTTATAAATTTAGCTATTGTAGCTGGTCTCATGTCGGAATTTGAAGAAAATTTGGTTATATGTTTTATTTCGTCAAGTTATATATGCCGAAAATAGCAGTGGCTCAAAAGTTTATGTGTATTTATGCATATATATATTTGTGTATATACTTGACTTGTGTATATATTTGATATAACGCGCCAAATCACGCAGATTTCGCCTACAGTTCTCAACCGATCTTTATGAAATTTCGTGGGCTTATTCTATAAATTAATATCGAGATCAAGTTCGGAGATGAGCAAAATCGGCCAATTAGTTTCGGAGTTGTGGGTGTTTGAAAATTTTTTTTAATTTTCGAAAAATTTTTAATTTTGTCGGAATAATATTTTTAACGTCAAAGATAGTTCAAATGTATTGATTTTATCTCAAAGTAAACTTAACTATCTTTAATTTAAGCTATAATTCGTTGACTTTTAAACTTTTTGTAGTGGCTTTAAAAATTTGAAAAATTTTCAATAAACGAATTTTGTCACTTTTATCAAAACACGTTTCCTGTTGTGATAGATAACTCGATTGTATCAAATTTATGTTGAAGTTCATGTCATTATCATAAATTTTAGCTTTTTTTTTAATTCAACGTCTTCTACTTTTTGATAAATTTATGATAAAAAAAAAATTTTGATTCAGTAAAATAAAATTTTTTAAAGATTTTTTGATTTGAAAATTCTTCAAAATGAAATTTCGAATTTTGATCAAAATTTTCAAAAAAAATTACCGATACGTCAATTTTTTAATTTCTATAATTTTCATCGAAGAGTTAAAATTATGATTTTCCCGTAATATTTCATTTTTTTCTAAAAACTGTGAAAATTACCAGTTTTTATATTTAATTTGCCGAATCGTAAAACATGATAAGTGATAAGAAAAAAATTTTTAAATGTCTTTATTTTTCAATTTTTTTTGACTAAAAATTAATTGTTTTTATCTCTGCTAAAAAAAATTTCTAAATGTCGCTTACGATAGTATATTTATAAGAAGGTGAGGTATCGATACCTAAAAATAGTTTACGAAAATTTTTGACTGCACTATAATAATAATTAATAACTATAGAATTAAAAACAATCTATTTATTTTGTATGTAATGTTAATTATGAAGATAAAAGAAAATGTTTACATTTGAGCTATTGATTAAAAAATTCTTGAAATTGTATAGAATAAGTTGAATAGAATAAGAAATCATATTTATAGTTGGGTACAACTATTAAATGTACACTAATTTGGGTTAGTCTATATTTATTGAGCCACGACCTATATAATAATAATCAGTGGACATCATCAAATATTTATTAACGATGTCGGTAAGTAACAGAAATGATCCGGTCATCAAATCTTAAAAAAAAAATTTAGATCAAACATAAACCATTTTATCGAGCATATCTAGTCTACCTGTTGTTATTATTCTATGATTTAACTATTTATAATTTAGATGTAATCAGTAACTACTTTCTAAATGGATTAAATGGATTAAATATTAATATTATAAAAAAAAAATAAATTTTTCTCAAACGTTTTAATTATAAGAGTAATTACATTATGCTGGCATAGAATTATAAATTTGTTTTGCCAAAATTTAAAAATCGAGAAATAAATATTGCAATATTTTACGCGCAAGCACGTAATATTAACACTAACCAAGGAACTAATTATCTCACATTGGATGATTTTATTTTGTATCAAAAAAAAAAAAAAAAATTTTTTTTTAACTAAGAATGTTTTTGATCAGTGTGTAAAATAATATTAGATTATTTTTACCTGAGCAATTTTAATGAAAATTGTATAAGTAATATTTTAATTATCAAAATAAAAAATTAATTTATAAATACAACTATCCATGTGCTCAATATTTATTTTGCTATTAAATACTCATAACGTCTATAAAAAAAATAATCCAATCCTTGAGACTTATGTGTATTAAACAACCCTCATAAACTTCTTCCAATATCACACGCATGAATAAAAAAAAAAGCAATAAAAAAGAAACTGATTGTCAAGTTCAATCATCCTTCAAAATTGCGTGACATAGTTTTATTGACATTCAATAAAAAATAAAAAATAAGTAAATAATTGAAAAACATGATTTTTTAGTAAATAAAACTTACAAAAAATTAATTTTTAGACTTACAAAAAATAAATTTTATTGTCAAAATATTGCTAGCTATTTACAAAAGTTGAGTTAAAATAAAAATATCTTATAAAGAACTCCACGATATTCAGTTACAATATCTATTGTAGCCAATAAAAACGTTTTTATAATTATTAAAAAAAAAATACATGATATTTTTAATAAAAATCATTTATTTAATATACAAAAATAATAGTAATACTAATAATAACAATAAGCTATTATTACAGAAATGACTACCATCCATGATTGTGACCGTGATACTTGTATTGAACAGCAACAGGTACTGGGTAAGGTTTCGGTACATGAACAGGTACTGCCACATGTACTGGGTACGGTTTATTGACAGGAACTAACTTTTCAACAGGCACTGGGTACGGCCGAGGTACTGGAACAGGTACTGGACGATCAACATGAACGGGTACATGGACATATTTTTCAACCGGTACATGAATCGGCCGATCTACGTGTACTATTTTTTCGACGTGAACAGGATAGGGTTTTGGTACATGAACCGCAACAGGCACTGGCACGGGCACTGGACGATCCACGTGCACCGGGTATGGAATACCCACGTGTTTCGTTACCGTCTGAACAACAGGAACTGGTGCAGGTACGGCGATCGGATGTGGAGCCGGCTGAGGAATCGCTACCGGCTGCACTGGCACTGGAACTGGTTGAGGAAACGCTGCTATTTACACCCAAGATAAAAAGTTTAAAGAGAAATTTATGAGAAATCGGAATCTAAAGTTGTAAATTTTAATTTTTTACCAATTGGATGCACGGGATGAGGCTGTGGTAACAGTATATGATCTTGATGATCTTGATGACCGTGAAAATGATGGTCAAGTGATTGATGCTCGTGTATTGGTGCTGGTTCTTGATGTTCATGAACTTGCTGGTGATAGTGATGATAATCTTGCTGCGGCGCTCCGTAGCTCAAATTTAACGCATCTTACGACATAAATACGAATATGTTAGTTCAATTAATAACTTTGTCTGTTATTACTATTATTATTTTTAATTTTAGATTGATGTTTTATTCGCTTACCACGTTTACCGTGTTTTTTTAAGAGTTTAGAGTCATTTTGATCCTTTTTATCCACTTGAATAGCTGAGGTAATGACTATGAAGGATGCTATAATCTAGGAATAAAATAATTTTTTTTTAAGATCTAATTCAATGTTTTAATTATCTTCCAAAGCATGAAATTAAATTTTTCATTGGAAATGGATTAAAAAAAACTGGCTTAATGAATTGAGTTTTTGACAATTTTATCATTTTTTTTTCTGAGCAAAGCTTTAAAAAAAAAAAAGAAATTTTTGTGAGGGCAGTTTTTAATTATTGAAGATAATTTATTGGAGTAAGAGACGAAGCTTTTTGGAGATGAGGTAAAAAATTTTGTGGAACAAAAAGCTAAACTTTTCTAAAACAAGAAAATTTAGGGTATATGTACCGTTTATGGCCACTTATTGTTCAAATAAACGATAGAAATTAATTTATCTTAATAAACCATTACAAGCTCAGTTTGTTTTAATATAAATTTTTTAAAACAACAAAAATATGGTTATAATATTATAATTTTTTATAAATTAATTCAAATGTTAACTGGCCAAAAACGGTACTGCTACCCTACTTCCTCTAAGATAAATATTTTTTTGAATGAAAAACTATCATTTGGGTAACATTATAAAGTGTAACATTTTATTTAAAATTATTTTTCTGATTCTTTCAATCAATTTACTTTAACTTATCTCTGTTTAAAAATATTCATTGAAAAAAATTTACTATCATGAGATTTGAATTTTTTTCAATAATTCCAATTGATTTCAATTTTTAAGTATATATCTATAGATATATAATTTGCATAGATTGAATTTTTTTAATTTTTTTCAATTAATATTTTTAAACAGGGATCATGAAAAGTGTAATATTCTATATTTATATAAGTTAAGTGTAAGATTTATTTCAGAAGATAAAACATTTTCGTCCGTAAGAAATTGGAGTATTTGACAACTTCAAGAAATATAGAAACTTAATAAGTTTTTAACTAAAGGAAATTTTTGTTTCTTCATGAAAATGTTCAGTTTGAAAAATTGAATAGAACATTTTTTCTATTGTTAATTTATTCAATTCATGGTTTTATGCATATATATTTTGAAAAAAAAAATGAGAAAATATTTTTTAAGCATCCAAAATTTCGACCTAAAATTGGAGCACAATTTAATCGGCTTCATCCTTTGTATATTTGAACAAACAAATTTTTTTAAAAATATATCTAGCATATTCCCGTTCACTGACTAGTTAATAAATTATAAAATTCCGTAGCTTAGTAAAAATTTTCTCAAATTATGATTATAGAAAAAAAAATCTCCGATTCATATGACACTAAAGTTAGCAGACGTCTAAAAATTAAAAAAATTTTTTTTATTAATTAAATTACAACTATAAAGATATTTGTAGAAAATTGCACTTATAGTTTTTCAAATTTTTTACATGTGAAAAAATTTTTTTTAATTGTTCAATTGAAATTTTTTCAATAAAAAATTTCTAAAAATTTTTAAATGTCGGCTAACTTTACTTTCATCCGATTCATTCAAAACACTCTAATATATCCACAAAAACACTCGATTAGTCCAAATTATAAAATTTTCTCAGTAAAAAAAAAAACACCAATAAAAAAATCGTACCAGTAATAATTTCATCCTGGCACCTGTCAGTTTGGTAGTCAAAGAAAAACTGAACATGATCGTTATTGTGATCCCCATAAGTATTTATACTACGTACGACGCATTGATAATCAAACAAAATATAGCCACCGGATAATAATAACACGCGATTATTTAAACATTCATCCGCATAAAACTTTCGCTACTTCTAATCCTGGATTCCGGCCAAAATCGTGATCATTGTCAGGATTTTGTTCCTGATTCGATAAGCGATCTCACGAATCGATTACCGAACATTAACTCAACTATATAATAAAATAATCATTAATTACAATTAAATAACATGTATTACAGGTGAAGTTACCTTCAACAAGAATTACAAATAAAACAAACATTCTAAAAGTTAGTCCTATAATAAAGTTAACTTATTCATAAATGCGAAGTGTTAGGTAAAAGTTTTTAAATATTTCTTTCCAAGTTTCAAGATCAATACATTAAATTAATTTTTAACATTGACATTGCGATAAATATAGAAATTACGAAAAAAATGTATTTATTTACTCAAACATGTCAACACAATCGACCAATGTCTTATAAATTATGATTATAATAGTAACTATATATAAATAAGAATAATTATTATTAAATAATAAGGTATTCCAGCTAACGATCATAAACTTTACACTTTGCAGTATCGGCGTATACAAAAAATTATTATACACAACTCGGGCGTCGTCGCGCTATGAATAATTAATGAATTGTAGCACATACACTAGAATAAGAAGCTCAGTCGTGCTAAAAGTAGTGATAGAGAGGGAGAAATAGTATAGTAATAGAAAATGAAAGTTTAGGAAAGCTATAATATAAGTGATGTGGAAATTAAAGTTACTTGCGCCCTGTATGTCGCATACAAGGAAATACTTCCGGAAATCCTACCAAGTAGATATGTACAAAGACCAGACAACAAACCAAGACGGTCCACACGATACCAGACACATTTTTATACTCATTCTACTTGTATTGACAACTTCAATGACAAACTCGTTTCACGTTGATTACCTTTTTCGAGTTCAACGGCAATTAAAGCCTACCTCAATAATTTCATGCTAATTTATTAACTTTTTATTTTAATCGAGTTTTACTTTCAATACTACTTTGAATGAATTAACATTTTTTATAATATTCTATATTGTATATAGTAATTTATGTTATTAATTATTTATCATTATGAAACTAAATCGATTTAATAAGGCTACTTTATTGTTTTATTATTTAGACGATGTTCACCACATATATATATTACTAAATCATATTCTGGGATCGATAAAAAATTTTACAATTCACGGTCAATTGAAGCTTAAAATTTTTTTTTTAAATTAATTAATTTTTATTATAATATAAACAATGATTTATGACTAATATCTATTCACATCATTAATTAATGTATGATTTATTCGAAACAATTCATTTCACCGGAAGCCATTAGCTGCGATGAATGAATAATAATTACACTGAATAATTGGGTCAGAGTATAGCAAGCTTGCCATAAAGACTTGTCTTTTTTTTTTGTTTACCACAATAAAAAACAGTCGTGAAATGCGAATTGATACTTACAATTCAAATGTCCCTCTAACAATCTCATCAATTCTTTCCTAGGTTTTAACGTTACCCAATTCAAAATTTATTGCTGCTAATAAAATTCTAATATTTGTATTTTGGATTACAATTATTTTGCTTTGAAAAATAAAAAAGATTTATTAGACTTTTTTTTATCAATAAGTTTGTTAAATTCAAACTGTTTTTCATACAAAAATTTAAAAATTAAATTTTTGTGGTAATAGATCATGGTTAGAATTGTTAATTCATGTTAATTTACTCATTCGACCCTTGATTCCGATTAAAATAAAACTCTAAGATTTTTTTTTTTTTTCTATAATTGTGTTCTATTTTTTACTCAAATTTTCACTACTTCCTTGAAAATATTGATGTATATATTTTTTTATTTATAATAAGCATCCATATACGATAAAAGCAAGGTATTTTATTTTAGTAAAATTCTGGGAAATAAAATTCTTTAATGTGAACATAAAATATTGCCGTATAATATGTAAACATCTATTTGACTGTCAATCTTAGAGGATAAATTCTATAAAATTTACTTGATAGCTATTCTATAAAAATTTATCGAAAATAAACTTTCATTTATTTTATATTAAACTTAATAAAATTTTGTTATTTTTCTGTGATTAAATTAGTCAATTACTGCCAATCAAATAATGTGAAAATTTCAATAAAAAATAATAAATTAATTAAATTAACCATTTATACAATCAATTAAAATGACTATTCTCAAAATGAAATGGTATGATCTTGTAAAGATTTTTTTCAAGAGGTCATTAACTTTGATTTTAAAACAAGTTTTATCGTATTGAAACATTTCAATTTCTTGATCCCCTTGTAATATGTTCTATAAAACTAGATTCTTTTAACTTGTGCCATTAATGATTAACGAGATTAAAACGTATTTCCTTTTAGTTAAGTCAACAACTAGTTGTTCCCTCTACTCTATTAAAAATAGAAAAAAGCTCAAACCATACTAGACTTCATCTCAAGAGTATAAAGAGCCTTCGACAACTCAAATGTCATTACAGTAGTTCGTCGATCATTCATTCACTAAGATGATTAAGTTTGTGGTAAAAAATCTGTCTATAGTCACAAATTTATTTTTCTTATTCATTTTTATAAATTCCGAATTTACTTATTACAGATTTTTTTGAGCCTTGTCGTTTTTGCATCTGGACATACCAAGTCCACAAGTGAATCGTCAAAACAAAAACGCAGTATTTTTGAGATTGAGAGTCCAATTTCAAGTTACGGGCACGGTTATCCTTGGACTAGGAGTAAAAATTTATTGAAAGTTTTAAAAATTCCATCGGAATTGTCATTATTGCCGACTCGAAGCATGTAAGATATTACTTAATAGTCATTAAAATCTATATTTACAAATAAGTTCTTTGAAATAAAATTATTTCGTATAAGTTCAGTTTTCTTTTACTTATCTGTATTATTAAGAGAATAAGAAAAATTTTGTGTCCAAGATAGTCCTGTAATAAAATCGGTTTTTTTTTTAGTGAAATTTAGTGTCATTGCAAAGGTCTTGACTTAAACTTTTGCCTTTTCAAGGTTTCATATCATTTTTACCGATAGTAAATTTATTATGATAAGTATTTAGGCTGCATTCAAAAATTCTCTATCTTTAGATACATAATTAAGAAATGTCCTTATATCTTAACAACTATTGACATTTTTAAAGATATAAGTTCACCCCGACATTACACTCATCGAGACCTTTTATTTGAGTACCCACATCAATTTTTTCATATATTTATATATATTATATATATGTATATATGAAAAATATATCAAAATGCATGTGGGTACTCAAATGAAAACTCTTGATGATTGTAACATCGAGATGAGCTTATATCTGTAATTAAAAAAGTACAGTGCAATTTAACAAAAGTCATTATTTAATAAAGCAAAATTTTATTTATTTATTAGTTCAAAAGTCACGGCAGTCACAAAATGACTGCAAAGTTGCTAGTAAATTTTAAAGATGTTAATTACTTTCTTTATTTTTGTTTTGAGTCATTGATAATGAGATTTTTATTTTATAAAAATATCAAATTAATTCAATTACAAAGAATTGATAAATTTGACCAAATATCATTCTTTTGCAACAGAGCTAATGATATTTTTTTTTTAATATTTTATTAAGGAAAAAAGATAATTTTTCAAATGCGACAATCATTAACGTACACTTTACTTTGCAATTTATTAATTAATAATTAATTTTAGAGTAAGCTACGGTAGCGCAGCAAGACCGCCCAGTCCATTATTTGTAACAAAACATATCATTGTTGAAAAGCAAATTCCGGTACCTGGGAAACCAGTAATTTATGAAAAACAAGTACCAATCCATGTTCCTGTTCATGTGCCAGTAAAGGTTCCAGTTGACAGATTTGTTCCTGTAACAGTTGAAAAATCAGTGCCAGTTCCTGTACCTCAGGTGAATTTATTTTAATTATTAAATTACAAGTAAATTAACTAACAATAATTATAAAAATTGTTTTTAGCTTCTTCCATACCCAGTTGAACGTCAAGTACCAGTCCGTCAAGACGTACCTTACCCAGTACCAATAATCATCACTCAAATAGCTCAAGCTCCGCAACCAACTTCTGCACCGCAAACTTTTCAAATAGCTTCTCAGCCGAGTCCACCACCTCAAGTTCTCCAGTTGGCCCCAGCACCACAACAAAATCCACCTCCTCAACTTTTTCAATTAGCACAAGCTCCACAGCAAAGCCCACCACCGCAACTTCTTCAATTAGCACAAGCTCAACAGCAAAGTCCACCACCGCAACTTCTTCAATTAGCACAAGCTCAACAGCAAAGTCCACCACCGCAACTTCTTCAATTAGCACAAGCTCAACAGCAAAGCCCACCACCGCAACTTTTTCAATTAGCACAAGCTCCACAGCAAAGTCCACCACCGCAACTTCTTCAATTAGCACAAGCTCAACAGCAAAATCCACCACCTCAGCTTCTTCAATTAGCACAAGCTCCTCAACCTACACTGGCGACACCCACCTTCAGTCAACTTCAATCCAATTTAGCACCTCAACTATCCAATTCGAGGCCTTCAATCTTACCAATCAATTTTTCTGTTAACGCTGGTATCTCTGCCGGAGTGCAAAGTGCTCCTCAACATCCGGATCTTCAAAACATTGATTTTAGTAGTCTCGCTCAATTAAACTCATTTCATCCACCTCCATCCCCTCAACCGTTGCAATCAAATGATCTTGGATCTCTTTGGGGTCCTGAAGAATACAATGATCTTTATAGTAAATAAATGTTTTTCCACTTATACATAAATGTTTACTAATTATAAGGCTTAATTATAATTATTACAAGTCATCAAATGTTAATGATTATTAATTAATAAACCAAATAATTACTAAACTATTTTTCATTTTTTTATCATTTTATTATTACATAGTTTCCTATCAAATTTTATTAATTATGTCAAAATTTACCAACTTGAATTTAATTCAATAAACAAGTTATTTTATTATTTAATAACTATACACAATAATATCTATCGATTATTTCTTTTATTTAAAATATTTCAAAATGACTATATATGAATTAGTCTACAATTTTTTAATTATTTATTGAATTAACTTTTTGAGTTTGAACTCTTCAATTAATAACATTAAAGTTAGCTGTCACTTGACAATTATTTAATTTTATTTAACAAAAAGATTTATTCGAAAAAATTATGACATTAAAGTTAGCAGCCACTTAACAATTTTTTAATTTTATTTAACAAAAAAATTTTCCCACAAAATCATTTTTAAAAAATTGCATTTTTTATTTTTTTAAATTTTCAAATGTCAATTTTTTTTTTATAATTTTTTTTGCCAAAATTTATTTTTTATAGAATTTAAAAAATGATTAAATATATGCTAAATTAATTTTCATTAAAAAATTGCATTTTTTTATTTTTTTAAATTTCTAAATGTCAATTTTTTTTCTGCCATAATTTATTTGTTATAAAATTTTTAAAATGATTAAATATGTGCTTCATTAATTTTCATCGTCAACTATAGTCAGTATTTACACTAATTAATTTATTTTAAGTGAATATTTTTATTCAACATTAACTTATTTTCTATTTTATTATCTTTCTCTAGGTAAGTAACTAAGTGTCGGTAAGCGTGAAATTTTTCACTATCGACTTTTGAAAATAATATCTGTTGATATTTTTCTAACCTCATATTGGTGATCTGTCATAATAGAACATCAACACCCATCAAATTAATTTTATAAGAATGGATTGTTTAAAAAACAATAATTATAAAAAACAATGACGAGTTAAATAATGAGTTCAATAAATTAGTTACTGAAGAAAAAACTTTTTAAGTTTTAAATTTAGAATAAAATAATTTTAACTCAAATATAATGGCACCTCCACCAGTAATAACGGGTATTTCGCCAAAAGAAGGTCCCCCGGGTACTAGAGTTACATTGAGAGGTGAATTTTTAGGTACTAAAGCTCAGGATCTTATTGGTAAGTGTATACTAAAAAAAAAATTATATTATTGACATTATTAAAAAAATTAAATTGGAGAAAAAAATTTTATGATATAATAAAATTAATTAATAATTGATAATAGTGACAATAATAATTTTTATTAATGCCATTAAAGTTGGCAGTCACAAGAGATTTTTTTTTTACAAAAAAATTTGCTCCAAAAAATTATTTTAAAAAAATTGCATTTTTCATTTTTTTAAATTTCTACATGTCAATTTTTTTTATATTTTTTTTTTTGCCATAATTTATTTGTTAAAAAAAAATTATTAAATATCTGCTAAATTACAATAATTTCTTATTATTTTGAAGGTCTGACTATATGCGGATGTGACTGTTTATTATCAGCGGAATGGAAATCTCAAAATAAAATAATAGCTAGATCAGGACCATGTAAAGGACGCGGTGACATAATAGTAACAACTCGCAGTGGTGGACAAGGAACATCAACGGTACAATTTCGTGGTTATCATGAGACAATAGGCCCAATGAAAGAATCGGCAGTTTGGGTCGAAGAAGCTCCAGTACAAAACTTCGTCTGGGGTAGGCGCGCGCTATCACCAACTAACTATCAGCAGGAAGATCCATTGGGGCTGAGCGTTGAGGGCAACGACAACAAAAAGTTTCCCGAAGATGAACTATGTGAGTTGTTCGGAGACAGTAATGGTGAGTTGACAAGCGATAAATTCCATCCCGGTTGGTTTTTACTCCAACACCACCACGCGACCACACTGGACGATTTAAAAGCTGGACTTGCTTACTTGAGACGGAAAGTTAATTCCCAAAAAGAAGGACAGTTGTCATTTTTAAAGGCGAATGTTGGCGCTGTGATGGAACAACTCGAGACGATTGTTTTGTTGAAAGAACAATTTGAGCTGGATGTCAAAAAATTCGGCAATGACCCAACAGCTAAACTAGAACAAGCGATTCGCACGTCGATGGCTGAAGCAAATAAACTGTTTGACGATGTCCTAGCCCGTAGAGATCGTGCGGATGCTACCCGCAGTGCCTTATCAATAATGCAGCGTTACAAATTTTTGTTCTGCATGCCAATAAATATTGAGAAAAACATAAAGCGTGGCAATTATGACCTCATCATCAACGACTACGCGCGTGTTAAAAATTTATTCGGCAACACAGATGTTGAAATATTTAAGAAGGTGTTTGTTGAAATTGAAAATAAAATACAAGAGCTCCGGGACATATTGCGTAAAAAATTAGAGGAGACACCATTTGACGTTGAGACGCAGAAAAAAATAATAAGAAACCTGGTTAACTTGGAAGCTGATGGAGATCCAGCGTGGGATGCAATAGCTGCTCACGGTTCTTATTTAGATAAAAACATAACCAGCTGTCTCAGTGATTACTTTGGATCCGAGGGTGCTTCTGGTGACGATCCAAGCAATAAAACGACTGGTAAATCTAATAATGTAACTCCAATAGCCGATCGTCTTAAATTATACCGCATGGATGCAAACGCTAACGTACCGGCTCGGGTACTCTGCATCGAAGCGATTTGTGACGTGGTCACCGAACAGCTTCCAGATCTTTGGCGACTAGGCCAGAGTTATTTTTCGGGACAATTGCACGTCGCTGTTGATACTAATAAGCAGAGTGCTTTTAAAAACTTGGTACTGTCGTGCATCCAGCATGCCAGCGAAGCTATGAGAGAATGCTGCGGCTCAAACATGACTCCAGCTTGGTTGCTGCACAGTTTACGTTGTATCCGACACATGTATACTGCGCTGATTCATCTAGATTTACCAAGTGACGCTTTGGATATTTTTGGTAAATTTTTATTTGATCTAAGACTTCAATGCTTAGTAGCATTATTCAAACAAACTGCTGAAAATATCAGCGGATTACAGTCAAAGGAAGCCTGGCAACTGGAATACCTGGATAATTTAGACGGTGGAATCACTAAATTACCGGGTTTGTTTGAACAAATGATTATGGAAGTCGCTGAGCTAGCACGGGAAACCGCAATTGCTTGCGGATTGCGTGAAGCACCACTGCTGGAGTCACCAACATCTCAAGCGCTGTACCATAACGCGGTGAGAAGTCTCTTTATTGCTTTTGCTAAATGCCTGAAACAACTGGCATTCAGCGGGAGTGAAGAAGCCGGCGATGAAGATGATCCCTCGGTGTCACAGCTAGTTGGTTCACCAGCTTGCTATCGCATACGTGACAACAAATGCCGTGTAGAAACAACAACACCTACATGGGAAAAATGTTTGCTGATATCTTTAAGTAACATACGTTATACATTGAATAATATTTTACCAAAAGTTGTGAGTGCGTTGAGAGCACGCGGTTATCCAGACTTGTCATTAGCTGATGGATGGTCAGATGATTGGACGCAGCTTGAGTCTTTGGACACTGCGGTGCTTGAAGCTTATCTTGAGAGACGCTGTGACCCTCTTGTTGGCACCATCGAGCCTAGTATGTATCTAGGTGGCTTAGAATGGGATTCGCAAATAGAACCCACACACATACGTCCTTACGCTCAAGAAATAATAGCTAATCTTATCGCTGTTCATGCTGAGGTAACTCGCGTCTCTCCTTGTCTTCTCAAACGTGTCTTGTCGCATATCGTTGAAACAATTGCTGAAGAACTAGCACGGCTTATGTCGTGTGTCAGGAAATTTGGAACCAAAGGAGTCATTCAGGCACGCACGGATATTCACTTATTGAGAGATACTTTGGATATTTATTGTACTACTCGTGCTAGGTAATTATAAAAAAAAAATTTAGCAGTAAATTTTTCTATTTTTTTAACATTTTTTTTTTTTATTATAAAATAGGAATTTTTTCGAAGAAGCATTGGATGCTATCGCATTGCCAAATAACGACAAGATTGATGTTACTAAGGTAGAAACACTTTTAAATAAAGTCAAGTCATCAATGCAACTTCAGATTCGTTGTTTAGCTGAAAGACCCAAGTCTCCAGACATTTCACGTCATAATTCCAGTCAAATCACTACTGTTATGTAATGAAATTATTAAAATAATAAAAAGATATAAATATAATTATCACAAATATTTAATTATAAATTGACGTGTATTTTTTTATATCAATTATTTTTCTTATCCACGGATTTATTTTCAACAACCGATGGATTCAAGTCTTCGGATATAGTCACAGTGTCTCGACGGTTCTTGTCAACTGGGTACAACCTAATAATATAAAAATCGTGAGTTAGAAATAAAATATCTAATTATATTATCAATCAGTAATTATTTTAGATAATAAATTTACCATCTTTGATATAAATAAATGAGGAAAATAATATCATCTCGGAAGCAAGCAACTCTGTGAGCAACTGGCATTGTTATTATAAATGCGAATACATCGTCAATAAATGTATTGAATGCTTTGTACATAAAGGCTCGCCATGGTAAATGAGCAACTGATTTGAGCTTGTAGTTGACAAATAATTGAGGAAGCATAAAAAGAAATCCGAATGCGTACACACCATTCACTAGGGAATTAATACTCCACGAATACCAACTAAAATCACATATTTAAATTAATAAGTTAAATTTTTTTATATTAAATTGTTATTCTAAATTGAAGCAACACAAAATATAAGTAAAGTCGTAAAAATTACCTCTTATGTGGTTGGTAAATCAGTGAATAAATAGCACCGGAAATAACAAGAGGGTAAAGTAAATAAGTTAAATATCTCATGCTCTCAGCATCAAATTGGCGTGTCTTTGATTCTTCTTCATGACTTTTGCCATCTTTTTGCAGTCTCAATTTCGGAATTATTCCACCAGATCTAACTATTTCTAATCGCAGTACTTTTTTAGTTTTCCAGAGCTCGATCAAAGTTCCGATTCCTGCGGGAATCAGTACCAATAAAGACGATCCTTCGTCAAGCAGATAGAAAAATATAATCGCTTGACTAAACGCTCGCCATACTATTGTAGAAACACTGAGGCCTTCAAAGCTCCCTTTACTCCGCCAGAAACTGATGTCATTTTTGAATGCCAAGAAATCGAACAGTAGCTAAAAAAGATTAATCAATTTAATTTATTAATAAATATCCTTTAGTTATTTCAACATTTTTTTTAATATAAACGAACAACCTTGCAGTCACTATGTGACTGCCGTAACTTGTGAACTATAAATAAATAAAATTTTGCTTTATTAAACAATGACTTTTGTTAAATTGCACTGTACTTTCTTAACTATTGACGAATTTAAAGATATAAGCTCATCCCGATGTTACACTCATCAAGAGCTTTCATTTGAGTACCCACATGCATTTTCATATATTTTTCATATATTCATATATATATATATATATATGAATATATGAAAAATATATGAAAATGCATGTGGGTACTCAAATGAAAGGTATCGATGAGTGTAATGTCGGGGTGAGCTTATATCTTTAAAAATGTCAATAGTTGTTAAGATATAAGGACATTTCTTAATTATGTATCTAAAGATAGAGAATTTTCGAATGCAGCCTAAATACTTATCATAATAAATTGACTATCGGTAAAAATGATATGAAACCTTGAAAAGGCAAAAATTTAAGTCAAGACCTTTGCAATGACACTGCAAATTTAAGTAAAAAAAAACCGATTTCATCATATGACTATCCTAAACACAAAATTTTTTTTATTCTCTTAATAATATAGATTATTTTATTAGATACTTACATGCATAGAAGCAATAAAAATAGTGCCGGCTAATAAATAAACGTTGGTATCTGCATAAATTCCCTTAACTTCATCAACATCTTTTTCTGAGAATCCTAAATTTTTCAAACCTTCCATAGCTGTTTTAACATGTAATATCAATCTTAATTTTCCCATTGATATCGGTGTGTACATTACTGTCACATTCATGAAACGTCTGTCACCAACAATTGTTTCAAGATCTTTGTAGCGTGTTTGTAAAAAGTCATAATTAATTATTGGAAGAAACATATTATTTCCAATTAATCTGAAACATTTAATCGATTAAACATTTTAATTTATAATTTTATTATAAAAATTTAAGTGTACCTTATATTTGGCACAAGTTCTGCTGGTATATTTTTAACGGGCAGTTCTGGCGTATCAGTCACTAATGTAAAAGTAATACGCGTACGTAAATGAGAAACAGTCTTTATTTTATTATTTTTTATTTTTGAAGCGTCGGGTGATTTTTTGTCACCAAGCAAATTAAAAGTTTCTGCTTGTGGGATCGCAAATTGTGTCATTTTTATACGCGTATACACTGCATGCGGATCCTATTAAAGAAATCATAATTAATAATTTTTGCATTAATTAAAATTAATATAATTTTTAATACCTTGAGCAATTCAATGAATGAATTTCCACGAATTTTCGATTTTGGTACAATTATTACATGGAGAAATAAGGTACCGTTATTCCGAGTCTTTACTGGAATTTCTAAACTCAGCGGCCTGGAAAAAAAATTTTTACAACATTAAATTATTGCTTTAAATATTTAATGACGGTAAAGGTACTTACATTGTATGAGGAATAGTATAATCAAAATTCAACATCGAATGAACAAGTGAAGCATCGTTGGACAGAGGTTTACTTGATGGAGAAGTAAAAAGATAAAGTTGTAACTGAGGATCGGCATTTAAAAATGATTTGATGCAGGTTTTCCCAGGTTCACATGATGGTGGTGTAAATAATAATGATATGCCGTAAATCGAGTAAATAATATAGCCGATAAATGCACCGGAAAATAATACTGTAAACGAGGGTCGCAGCATTTTTATTATTTGTAAATAAACCTGAAAAATTAATTAAAGTATAATTAGAAATTATTTTTATGAATTAATTTATTATTATTATTATTATTATTATTATTATTATTATATGTCAGCTAACATTATTAACAAGTTTTTTTTCTTACCTTACAGTTGTTTATTTATTGTCATATTGTAAATAACAAACGGTTTTATATTACAATTGAACGTGGCTAGTGCTGACAATTATGGTCAGCTGATAGTTTCTTGTATACGTCAATCGACAAGTGGCGCTGCGGTATTTTTATAGACACTAGTAAACCTAAATATTACAATTTCTGAAAAATAGCTACTGTTTTCATTTTTTGCATAGTTTCACTCTTCTTTTAGCTATTTAATTATAATTACTCAAAAATTAATTATAATTTTAAATTATCATATTTTTTAATGAATAAATTAAATATTAATTAATAGAAAATAATAAAATTTATCTATTAGATGTATATTTAAATAATTTTATATTTTAAATATGGGAATTTTATGACACTGAAATTTGACAGACATATTAGAAATTTTTTTAGAATTTAATGGCAATGAAATTATTATGAAAAAAAAGGAAATAAAAAAATTCCACATGTGAAAATTAAAAAAAAAAATTCGAGTGGAAATTTTTAAAAACATTTTTATTATTGTAATTGTAGGAAGTTATGGATAGGATTGATAATTAATAATGAGAAAATACACAATGAAAATTAATGTAGCGCATATTTAATAATTAAAAAAATTTTATAACAAATAAATTATGGCTAAAAAAAATAAGAAAAAAAATTGACATTTAGAAATTTAAAAAAATAAAAAATACAATTTTTTAAAAATAATTTTTTGAGAAAAATCTTTTTGTTAAATAAAATTAAAAAATTGTCAAGTGACAGCTAACTTTAATGTCATGAAAATACAACATTATTAAAACATAGAGTGAGTCAAATAGAATCTTTATTTTAAAATAATCGTATCGAGAGTATAGTGTCGTTACTTGACAGAGTTTATTAGTCGCATACTAACTATAAATGTTAAAACTATTTTATTGTGAGGTTTAACCCTCTGTAGTGTCCTTAGCAAACACATGTTTTTCTTTGTAAAAAATAAGGAGTCCTTTGTACAACTCAAGTACCTAAGGTCATAAAATTAAGCCTAATACAGGCTTTCTTATTCTAGCTGCACAAATATGCTTTAAATGTGTTTTTCACATTTTTCACATTTCAAAACTAATAAAATAAAATACACTATTTTTCTAAAATAACTATTTCTAAGAACAAAATATCTAAAATATAAAACTAAAAGTTTTGTAGGTGGGATTTATTTTTGTTCAGAGAATCCAACAGTAATCAATTTGTTATAAGAATTTAAGAAAATTGACAATTGTCAGCTAGCATCAGTATCATAAATTTTCATTATATATTTAAGCAATAATTTCTGATGGTCGGTTACTTTTAGTATCATTTCTGAATATTGTTTTTCATTATTATAGAAGAGAAGAAAACCAACCATATAAAAACATGTGTTAAAAAAATATAATAACTCAATATATAATATTAACTCAAAACTATAATACTTACTCAAAATATAATAACTAATAATAATTAAAGAAAAAGAGTCTCTTTTACAATCTAATTCTATTTGATGAAAGCGTTTCTAATCTAATACAATTATTGGTTTACTGCAAACAAATCATTTTAAATATGCTAAGAAATATTTGTTTAATAGTAAAAAGTGGTCTCTAATAAATAATTTGTTAACTATTAACGAATATTTTTTAATACAAATAAATCCTTCTATCAGTGTAGACCCACTCGTCACATGTTTAATAAAATTTTATCCTCTTAAAAAAAAAAATAATTCCATCTTCAAAGGATTTAATTGTTCTTCTCTTGATTATTCAATTACTAAATTAAATTTAATCTCATCTGGCGAAGCTTCATTTATTTCACTAATAAATATGTCGTCAATAATTTCTTCAAATTCTTCATAAGATTTCATTTCAGTAAAATCCATAGATTTAGTTTTAAAAGATTCCTGAAAAATATTTGTCAAGTAAAGAAATTTTTCAATCCTATCGTTGTTGTCAATAACTTTATCATTATAGTCGCGTATATTACGACCAATATTAGAGTAGTTGATCATCCACATAAGCAATTTGTAATATTCTTTTAGTATAAAATTCTCATTAAATCTTGGCCACTCAAATAATACTTCATCAGACCGATTTTTTATAAACCCCAGTAGTAGTATAAAGTAACAAATACATTTATTAATATTGTGCGGTGTTAGATGAGTCATAATATCATTTATCTTATTAATGATTTTGAAGTATCGATTGTCATCAATATTAAAATTTTTTTTACTATTTATTAGATCGAGAATGGATTTAACCATCTGTGGAGTAAATAGTGGGTCATTGTAATCACTTCCGCGTAAAAATATCAAAAGTTTGAATGCGTTTTTATTAAGAATAGTTTCAAACAATGACGCATCAAATAATTCCTTCTTATCGATTATGTAAAAGTAAACATTATCGTTAACAGTTAGTCTTTGGTATCGATAAACAATATGATAAATGTCGGTGTCATTAGTGATGATGATAGACGCTAATTTGCCATTACGTTGGAAAAAACATTCACTTTCCGCTTCCCCGTGCTGCAGTCGTACTACTTGGATCCTCTTGTCATTGAACATCAACTCGCGGCCCCAAGATTCAATTGCACGTGCTAACCGCGGTCTATAATTTTGAGAATTCTTCTTATAAGCCGGAGGTGTACCATCAAAGTATATTTTTATTCTCTTAACATTAAATTTAAACTCGAATTCGAGTTGATTGAGTACTGTAGTTAATTTTTTAGTTGCCACTCTTTTGTTCAGTTGTTCACTCAAGTGTCCGCAATACCAAACTACAAGACCGTCGACATAAATTTTACAATCTAGATCTTTCGGGATTTTTATAGACGCTTTTTCTAATAAATCTTTGCATACTCGGTTAATGTTATAAATTCCCATTTTTATAATAATTTTTTTTTTTTCATTAAATATTAAACTTTTTTAGAGAACCAGTATTATTTTATTTTTACTCTACTATAATAATAAAAATAAAATAAAAAAAAAATTTGTTTTTTATAAAATTAGCAAAAAAAATAATATTATTCATTAGAGGGTAGTATTTGTAAAAATAAGTTCTTTATTAAATTGAAATTAATACTTAATTAAAATCAGAATTTATTAAAAATTTGTTCCAATATTGATATTATATTAATTACTCTTTTTCAATTAATATTTTTATTAATTATTAATTCAAATTCACTCAATAAAATTTTATCCATAAAAAATTGTAATGTTGAAATTTTAAACTAATTATAGTTCTAGTTTTTATATAAATGCTTTAATTATTTTTAAATTGCTGTGAGGGCCAACAGTTTTTACACTTTAAAACTACAGAAGTATTTTAAATTGAATGTAAAAAAATAAACTTATCAAAATATATTTATAGCAACGTTAAAATCAATTACTAAAATTATTAAATTATCATGCGTATGTATTCTCAATCAAAAATAATACTATCAACAGATATTTCTTTTACAATATTTTCAAGCTGTTTAAAATTTTCAATCTCAACATTTTTTAACTCAGTAAAAACATTTTCACAAATCCGTAAAATATAATAAAAAGCACGCACAGAAGTTTCAACTCGAAAATTTTTATCATAATTCTCGACATTTTTACCTTGATTTGAATACATTATCAACCATTCAAGAACTTGAATATAATTTAGCGTTACAATTTTACTCTCCTTGGTGGGCCATGAAAAATTGCCGTATCCGACAATTTTAGCTTGAACCAACAGCCAAATAAAATACGCGATACATAATTCAATATTGTCTTCATTTAATTCTTCCATAAAAAAATTGATACGCTGAAAAACTTTGCTAAAGATCGGAACGTCGTACTCTAAAATATCAAACATTAATTTAGTCATCGTAAAAGTAAAAAGCGGTTCAATTAATTCCAGACTTCCATGCAAATTTAATAACAACGTAAATGCATTTTTATTCAGTTTGGTAGTCAGAAAATTTGTATTGTAAAAGATTCTTTTGCGGGTTAAGAAGCAGAAAACTAAATCGTCGGGAGACTGAGGTTGATACTTGTAACAAATAGGCAAAATGTCAGAGTCGTTTGTTACAATAATGGAAGCATATCCTTCATCTCGTTCGAAAAAACACTCGGATTCTGCTTCACCGCTATCCAGAAAAGAAATTTCATTAACTGATTCTCTCCGTAAAAGTTCATTACACCATATGAGAAGTTCTTTTGTGGAGACATGTTTCGACACAGGCTTATCTTTAAGGGCGGGAGGATTTCCGTGAAAGTACATAATTGTCGAGATGACTGTAAAATTATTTTTTTTTCTTATCATAGACATTATTGCATTGAATTTAGTGTGAGCGTTTGCTCTATTAGGCAAGTCGTCTAAGTAACCGAGAAACCACACGCTCAAGCCGTCAATGTAAATTTTACATTTTGATCGATAAAATTTTTCTTTCGTACGCTTATAAGCTCTGTCTATTAAATGATGACATATTTTATAGCAATCGTTAATACCCATATTCACTAAAACGGTGTATAAGTTAAATAAAAGATTTTATGTTTTGAATTTTTATAGCTTCTTTGATTCTTGAAATTATTAAAATATGAATAATTTTAATATTTTTAAAGATAAGTTCTGAAAATAAAAATTTATATCGTTACTCAATTCGTAGGAAAATAATAAAAAATTGATTTTTGTTAATAAAAATTACTCACCAGAGAAGAACAGAAAGAACGTTGGAGTGTAAAATTTTTTTCTTAGGCTTCATTAGATGATTAGTTTTTTCTATTGTTAATTGGTAGAACAGAAAGAAAGCTTTCTTACTGAGTAAAAGTGACTTAAATCTACATGGTGACGTAATTTGAGAAAAAAAATATGCATATTGGAGCTCCGAAAATATTTACTTTCTCGAAGTAAGTATTTTTCAAGGAAAGGTGTAGGAAGAATGAAAACGGGAAAGTTAATAAGTTTTAATTTTGTAATATTGTTTTTATAACCAATATTTTGATACATTATTTTTTTAGTTTTTTAATTCACAACTAATTTTATTGAAGCGGCGTTCAGAGCATAATAAAAAACAAAAATGTAACTATACACAAAAAAATAAATAATAAAATATGTTTTCATAAAATATTACCCCGTGGCAAATGGACGTAACAAGCAAGGGTTCGAGAACAGAACATTGAAACTGACTAAACAGGCTATCTGGTTCAAGTCCGCGAACTGAAAAAAAGAAAAATAAAAATTTAAAAGAATTTTTTTCTTCGTGCTATTTCTTTAGATAGAGAACGGTGACTCTTGAAATTTTTTGGCTTGAAATGTATAAGTCTAGTTTTGAAGCTTTAAAAAATTTTTTAATTTTATAATGAGATACAGCCCGTCAAAAGTCACTGAAAAATTCAGATTTTCCTTCGTTCCCTTGATCACGAGGACGTTAAATGAGAGTAAATAAATAAAATTTTATACATTAAAATAAATATTTTATTTAACAAATAAAAATTTCTCAACAAAAAATGATTAATAAAAAATATAACTCTGTATATGGGGCATTCCATGCCAAATCGACCAGAGTGGTATAACGAAAAACAAACATTTAAAAAAAAATTTTTTTTTTCATTAAAAAAAAAATAGAAAGAAAAATTTTACCACTCTGAAAATTTCAGGGAATTTGCAAAAAATACTGAAGTTTTTTATAAAAAAGAAAAATCGAAAATCAAAAATGTCAATCATCCTGAAATTTTCATTTTTTTCCAAAAGTTAAAAAAAAACATTGAATATGAATCCGAATTTATTTTTATTTTTTTTTTAAAGTACATTTAAAGACAAAAATTTAAAAAAAAAAAACATCCCAAAAAGTCAATTTTCAAAAAAGTTATGATTATTTAACAAAAAAAAAAAGCTGTTTTTTTGTAATAACTCGTAACTTTTTTTTAGATTGAGTAAAAAAATTTGAAAAAAATTCTGAAAATTGTTTTCAATAGGGTAGAGAAAGATACCAAAATTTCAGAAAAATCGAAAAGGGTCGGTGTCAAAAGTGGTCGATTTGGCATGGAATGCCCCATATATAATTATATGTATGTAATAGAATAATTACTATCCTACGTTCAACTAATATAAATCTATTAAAAACCTCAACTAGATTAAAATAATAATAAAGACAAACTTGAAAAATTTTCGCCATACTTCAATTTAATCTATCTATCGCAACATTGTTCATATGATGTTCAATTTCTTTTTTAAAATCTTGAATGACATTATCGTCCAGAGGAAAAACTCTAACGCATAATCGATATATATATTTAAGATTTGTTATTTCTTCGACCCCAACCGGTTCTATTAATTCAAAATTGTCATAATATTCAACATTACTACCCATACTTGAGTACATTATCATCCAACGAAGAACGTGAATATAATTTCCTGTGCTCATTATTGTATTTGATTGCGGCCATGAAACTGTATCTCTTTTTTTTCCCTGACTGATTTTGTTTTTTCTAGCATCACACAGCAACCTTATAAAAAAAGCAATACACTTTTCAATATTATCAATATTCAATTTCAATTCATTCATTGTTGTATTGATACGATTAAAAATGTCTGCGTAAGTTGGCTCATTTAATAACTCAAAGATTTTCTTTACCATCGATGGCGTAAATAACGATTTAATATAATTTTTATCTCCAAGTAAATACAATAACAATGTAAATGCATTTTTGTTAAACTTAGTTGTAAATAAATTAGTATCATATAGTTTTTCACATTCACGATGTTGATAGTTAAGCCTATAAAAAAATACCCTATCACTACGTCGTTGAGAATTATCATTATAACAAATATGTAACGCATCGCTATCTGATGTGCATATAATAGATGCAATTGACCTATCACGCTGTAAAAAACATTGAATCTCTGCTTCGCCTTTTTCCAGTAAGACTATTTCGCCTGGATAACCTGATCCTCGAACTTTTTCAATCCATCGTCCAAGTTGGCTATCAGGGTATATAAATCCAAGATTATCAGATCGTTTCAATTTTGGAGGTTGACCGTCAAAATAAATGAATGTAGATTGAACATCGAAATTACCAGTACTCATTATATATTGACGTATGCCTTCGATATTTCCCTCTACAATATTTTCATCAATTAAATCAGTACCAGGAATCGTACCCGACCGCCACAAAACATACCCATCAATATAAATATTGCATTTTAATTTAGGATTTGTTGAATTGTTTCTTAATTCAGAATTTGTTAAGAAGAAATCACATACATCATACCCGTGATTAATACCCATATTGGTACAATTGATTCAATTTATTGCCAAGTTAATATTTCTATTTTATCTCTTTGGTATTTTTTTAGATAAAATATTCAAAAATATTTTACTTTAAAAACACGATCAATGTTATTAATTAGATTTTTCTTTATTTAATTTTAGAAAAATTTGAAAAATTTGAATATATATGAATTAATATTAAATAATTAGGTTTACCGTAATTTCAATAATATTTGTTAAATATTAAAGAACATAATAAAAATGATTTTGTTTCTTCAGTGAATTTAAATAAAATAAATAAATAAATACCCTCTTTCAAGCAATGTAATAACAATAAATAACAATATATTCATCTGATAATCGATGAAGAAAGTAAAAATAATTTATTTTATAAAACATGCATAATTAACAACAATAATTCCATAAAAATAAATTACAATCAGAAATAACAAGAAATACAAAGACTTTAGATATTTCTATTGTATATGAGGTAGTATTTGTTATCTAAAATTCATATTATCATCTGATCTCAAATGCGCATTAAACTTTAAAACTTGGATATTTAGTTTCAATTTGTTGTAAATATCGACTTTGACACTTTTTGTTTTTAAAAATACAAAGTGTTATTTTTTTGCAACCGATTTTGTAAAATCAATTCTCAAAAAATAGATGAAAAGTGGCTTCTTTAATGTTTGATAAAGAAGTTTAATGAAACTGGATTATCTCACTGCCAGTAAATCCTGTAAAGTAAATTTTTAATGTTATACACTTTAAAAAATCATCGAATACAAAGCAAATTATTAAGCTAATACTTGTAATAATGATTGACAATACAATAAAAAAAAATCTGACAAATATTATTTGTGGCATTAAACGCATTTCATTGAAAATAAAAATAAAACATTACAATTTTAAAAATGATTTAACTCAAAATTCCACCGTTATGTAAAATAGTATATTACACCCCTAGGGAAGGAAAGTAAGAAATGTCTCAGATCACATGTGATCTGAGACATTTCTTACTTTACTTCCCTAGGGGTGTAATATACTATTTT